AAGGGGCTGCCCAGGGAAGGGGTCGAGTCCCCAGCCCTGGGGGGATTTAACAGCCGGGCAGCCGAGGTGCTGAGGGCCAGGGTTTGGGGGTGGGATGGCAGGGTTAGGTTAAAGGTTGGACTCAATGATCTGAAAGGGCTTTCCCAACCTAAATGATTCTATGATTCTGTGATTCTATATTTTGGGAAATCTCACTGTGTGTCTCTGTTCATCCGTCCATCCCTAAGAGCTTTTGCTCCTATTTGGTGGGAATGCTCAGGTGAAGAAGAGCCCAAGTGTGGCTGTAGGAGGAAGACGACTGCCATCAGCCTTCAACCCTTATCTGAAACCAGAGAGAGCATGAAGAAGCAAACTGCTCAGAATGAAAAGCTCCAGGAAAACAGGCTTCATGTATTTCACGCCTCACGGAATTACACGTTTTCAAACTTCTTTTTCCTCTGCCTGAGCAGAATTCTTGGTTTTTCAGCCAACTTTAATGAACAGTTGATGAAAAGTAGAGAAAAGAAGCGACGTAAAAGTAAGGCTCTTTGTCAAATGTACGAGTACGCTCTTATTGACTCCAGCACAGACCTTGGTAGCACTTTATACCCATCTTTTCTTTCTGTTGGAAAAAGGGTTTATTTTCTGGGGGGAAAAAAACCCAAACACCTCGCCTTAGCATAATCAATATGGTGAAAAACATTTTGTCTACGGTGAAATGCTCCTTGCCTTTCTCGAAATGATTAACAAGGTTTTTTTACCTCTGAAAAGACTTTAAAAAATAAAACTCTTAAAAGACCTACTTTTTTTTTCTTCTTTTTCATCACTTATTGATTTTTTACAAGTAGTTCTTTCTATGTCATTTGTGGCAAGGGGCTTTTGATGAAGATGTAATTGGGCTGTTTGCAAAAATTTGAAAAGTTGGTCTTTTTTGGATGAAAATAGGCAACTGTTACCATTGCTTTATATCCAGTTTTAATCTGATGGGAATTCTCTACTCAGAGCCCTGGGCTTTGCTATAGGCTAACCACATTCTTTCTATAAGTATGTGTTCAGTAGGGTTATACGGGAGAGAGATTTTGGTCCATATAGTTAAAGACGAAATTTAGAGAATCAATGTCCAGCTCCTAATCAGTGTCTGAATGGGACGTGCTCTTATGATATTAGTATTAAAAAAAAAATAAAAAATAGGCTTTTTAGATTAAAACCCAACCCGACCTCACTGCAGCTGTGTGCAGCGCAGAAAGCGAAGCAGAAACGGCAGTCGCTGCGGTGTCGGGATCCCTGGAATCAGAAGGCCGGTGCAAGCAGCAGCGTATACTTCGCGGCGTATTTATACCATCGAACGTTGGCTCTCGGGATCCCCCTGCCTGGAGCTACGCGACTCTGCTGACGGCACAGGAGCTTGAATGACAAGCTCGGAAGCCTGTAGGTTGGCTGTCTAAAGCAAGAAAAGTTTTATTCTGCCTCTCCGAAGATTGCTGCCTGTCCTCTTGTACTTGCTATTAATTATGTCCTTGTTCCTCGTACACAGCTGTTCGTTTGTGTCCCTGGTTCTAATCTTTTCGCTTCGGTCTCCCAAGAAGCTCCTCTTTCCTCTTTTGAATTCATTCAGTTAAAAAGAAATACAAGAGCTTTCCGGTTGAGGGCAAGCCAATATTTTTCTGCACGGCACTTTGGCACTTCCAGTGTTATTTTCTGCCCCATTTTTTGTCGTAGCACTTTACCTGCCTGTACATTACCCAGCCTTATACTGAATTGTGTTGTGTTTTGTTATTTGTTTGCTTTTTTTTTTGGTGGAAATACGGCTATAGCATGCTCAGCGTTCAGCAAGATGTGTGGGTAGTATGGGTCAGGTCTTCCAATGCCAGAAATTCCCAAATCTTCATCTGTGTTTATGTGGTTCTTTCACCTTGGTCCCTCTTCCATTATTTTGCTTTCTTTTAGGTAATTAAATACTTGGGGTCAGCTGCAGTTCTTGCCATCTTATTGTTTAATTCTCATCCCAAATAATGAGCAATAATAAAAAAAAGACACCTTACAACCACGCACAGGCAACCACAGTGACAGAATTTACTTAGATTTTCACAACATTGCAGTTCCACAGGCTATTTCAATCAAACCTAGCGATATACAGCATCAGTTTAGTCAGTATTAGATTACAATTTATTTATTGAGTAGATGAAAATAGCTGGGATAGGGAAATTCTCATCTAAAGTAAATGTTTCTCCTGGAGTTGTGCAGAAACGCATTCTTGATAATGTGCTTCTAAATAATCATCACTGATCATCTGCAGGAAAATACAAACGTTGCCGCGCGTGAAGCGTCCAGGTTCTGCCAGAGTTGGTGGAATGGTAAAAAAGGTGGCTGGGACACGGCATCGCCTGGATGAAGCTGGAGTTTGGGGTGGCAGAGGTGTCGTGGCAGTCCTGGAGGAGTGTTCTGGGGGAACTGAGGTTTCTCCGCTGCCGCTGGCTGTTCTTGAGGACAAATATCTACAGCAGCTTCCTTCCAGGACTGCCACCAGCACAGCCGCGGCTGCCTTGGCACAGGAGGATGTTCCAGATGATTCCTTGGTGTTTTGTGAAGCTTTCTAATGGATTTTCTCAGAATCAATGATTACTTGATTATGACAACTTCACATGCCTTAATTGTTCTGGAAATTAATGATAATTTTCTCTTGAGTTTCCTGGGGACTATTTCCAGGTAACTATTTAGCCTGTTCTTACTCAGCTTCTCATATGTGTGGCTTGAAAGGAAATAACCATTCTGATTTTCATGATGCAAATAGAAATGAACACACACACAAAATGTACACATTCACATATGTATACGTGCATAGGCATATACACAAGAACACCTTCTGCAAAATAATATTTCCCAACTCAAAGGTTCAATTTTTCAGAATCTGGCTTTTTCTAATAGATTTTTTTTTTTCTCCTTTAGAAAATATCAGGCCAGTTCTGCTGGCAGCTTTTGGTTAGATTAAAAAATTGAACATGTATTCATACTCCTTGGTTTCTGCCTTTTAGCTAGTTTCTATGACAATACTTTACCTTTCGCCCCATGTCTACTTAGCTTCCGTAATAGCATCTCATGAGGGAGTTGTCAAAGGTTTTCTGAAAGTCCATGTAAACCATCTGTCCTGTTTACAGAGAGATAGCTGGGGAAAAAAAAAAAAAAAAAGAAAAAAAAAAAAAAGCAGGCAGAAAGGATAAATTAGTTGTTCAAAGCCAAACAGCAGGTTGGTTTCAGAGAACCAGGGAAAGAACCCCGGAGCCTGGCTCCTCCTCAGCTGCTCATGGCATTAGATACCACTCCCTGCAGAAATACAAGTGCGCCAAACCAGGCGAATGCAGGTAAAAATGAGAAGAGCATGGGTGATAAATGAGGAGGCTCATTAGTTCCTGGATCAGCAATCTCCAAGCTGCTTTGGAACCTGCTTCCCAAAACCAAATCTGCCGTTAATAAGGGACCTGCAGGTAAATATATCATTAGAGTCGGATTAGCAGGAGCTTAATGGTCTGTGAGTGCTCTGTGTACTGCAGGTTGCTTTACACAGAGACAGAAACCACAGCGAGGAGCAGGGGAGGCAAAGGGAACTGTGCTGGAGGAGATGAGGTGTTCTTGGCGACTCGCTGCAGAAACCGGCAGCGCTGTGCAAAGGCGGAGGCGATGGAAAAGGGCTCAGGTGCACAGCAAAGAGCAAATGAAATGCCTGGTTCCCAGGAATCACAGAATCGCAAGGGTTGGAAGGGACCTCAGGAGATCATCTAGTCCAACCCCCCTGCTAAAGCAGGTTCTCCTAGAGCATGTTACACAGGACTTCATCCAGCCAGGCTTTGAATATCTCCAGAGAAGGAGACTCCACAACCTCCCTGGGCAGCCTGTTCCAGTGCTCCGTCACCCTCAGAGTAAACAAGTTTTTCCTCATGTTCAACTGAAACCTCTTATTCAGTTTGTACCCATTGCCCCTTGTCCTGGCGCTGGACACCACTGTAAAGAGACTGGTTCCGTCCTCGTGACTTCCGCCCTTAAGATATTTGTACGTGTTGATGAGGTCCCCTCTCAGTCTTCTCTTCTCCAGGCTGAATAAGCCCAACTCTCTCAGCCTTTCCTCGTAGGGGAGATGCTCCAGCCCCTTTATCATTCTAGTTGCTTTCCTAGTTGCATACCATTGGCCTTCTTGGCAACAAGGGCACCCTGCTGGCTCATGGTTAGCTTGTCGTCCACCAGGACTCCCAGGTCCCTCTCGGCAGAGCTCCTTTCCAGAGAGTGAGCACTGATCTCTCTGATTAGTTTCTTACGTGACCGATATCTAACCAGCAACAGACTGGGTTGCTCTACTTATCTTTCCATGTGTATGTTGTACTTCGCAAGCAGGTCAACCCATTGGGTGTTGGGCTGGAGGGACCTCCCCAGACAGACGCAAGAAGCTGCAGGACAAGCTGAAGAGAGATGACAGCCTGGCCACTAGTGTATCAGACTCATGTAATTCATGGCTGAACACATACCTGCCTGTCTTTTGATGTTTTCAAGCTGTGGGGAATGCAAGTTTTCTGTAAAATACGTCAACAATCACAAAACCCCATTAATTATCACATACCTTTTTTTTTTTTAAAAGTCTGAGCTTTCAGAGTCGAGCAATTACACGAGACTCTTCTTATTAACCAGTAAAAAATGTTTCTAATCATGAAGAAAAGTGGAAATGGCTTCAAAGCATGAACTCCAGAAGGTCACACACCAGAGAGCAGTACAGGCAATTCCTTCAGTCCTCAAGGTTGTTGAGGGTCTGCGGGGGTGGCTGCGCTGCAATGTGAGATGACCATGCTATAATGCAGAAGTGGCATGAAAATAAATTAAAACTCATTAAGTGTTTAAAAAAAATCATTTTGAAAGGAATGCAAGACAAAAATGTATCTTTAGCCTATCAAACTGTACGAACATCTTACCCTGGCAGAAATACATGAGTCAAAGTAGACAGATCTGCTTAAAGCCCTTTTTCTCCCTTCAATGGAGTCAGAGAAAGGCACGGAGAGACACTGGAGCTCTGCATTTCAAACTCAGTCTGCTATCCTGGGAAGCCTGTTGGAGAAGAGCAGAAAAGCAAACACGAGGCAGCTTCCACGTTGTTCTGTTTGTTGTGCCTCCGCACACCTCTCAGGGAAGAGGAGGGACCAATTTTTAATCTTTTTGGCTTGTCTTGTCCCTCCAGGTGTAAATTAATGAGCGACGGGACTCAACGTGCAGCCAGGTTTCTGCCCTGTGAAGACTGGTACTGGCTCTACAAAAAGGCAAGGACTGGTAGCACTGGTTTTTGATGGTCCCGTGACCAGCGCATCTTGTGGCACTAAGGTAAATGCCAGCTTCTGTCTGGTTCGGAAGATGAATTTTAACCTCCTCTTATTTCCCAGGAGAGTGCCTCAAATACCAGGTCATTTTTTATTAAGTTTCCCTTCTTCTTACCTAGTGATACTGTTCCAGATTTTAGGAGCGATGGAGCATTCCCTGCGCCAGACACCATAGAATCATAGAATCGTCTAGGTTGGAAAGACCTTTAAGATCATCAAGTCCAACCTTTAACCTAACCCTGCCATCCCACCACTAAACCATGTCCCTAAGCACCTCATCTCTCCTTCTTTTAAATCCCCCAGGGATGGGGACTCGACCACCTCCCTGGGCAGCCCCTTCCAGAGCGTGACAACCCTTTCTGTGAAGAAATTTTTCCTAATGTTCAACCTAAACCTGCCCTGGTGCGCCAGACTGTATCTGTGTTGTTTTTTCAAGAGCAATCTCCAGACTGAATTTTCTAGCTCTCCAAACTGTTTACCCTCAGCAGGGCAGTGGGAGCTGGATTTAGGACAAACCGCAGGTGCACCAGGATGTAGGATGGATGGGGGGGGAGGAAACTTCAAATATATGCCCTGTGGTTTTGCAAGCATAGGAGCATGCACCTTCCTCACATACTCCACCTGCCCTGCTGTGCAATATCATTGCAATGAGCAATACCACGACAAGATGATCCAAAGCCGCTCCTGACCTGGTCTGCTATAAGGTGGCATGGGGTTTGTAAAGAGCCTGAAGTCATCCTATGAGGCAGCGCTGCCCTGTGGACCTTTCAGACCATTCTGAAAGTTTTCAGATATCTTAGAAGTGTAGCCCCATGGCCTTGCTGTCCCAGGGAGGTTCTTCTCTGCAGTTGGAGGGACTGTGTGAGGACTGCAGAGCAGGGGTTACATCGGGTCTAAGGCCCTAGCAGAACAGTCGGACGCCTTGCTTTGGAGATCTGTCACAAACTGGCCAGGGACTTGCAGTTGGGTCTGATTTCCTGCCAGCCTTTAGGACACAAGCACTTTGGTTTTGCTCAGTGTATCCTTAAGGTGATCCGTACGGATTGGAGCAAAAGGAAGAGCAGCGCAGTACAAGACTGTCCAACTCTCACGGGCAGAGGGATTGAACAAAAACCTACTACACGTTGGGTGAACCCTTGGTAACTGGAAGCCCTTAGGAAGTCAAGCTACTGGACACAAGCAGGAAAACTTTATGGGAACAGTTTTTAAAAGGCTTTCTTCTTTTTCTCCTTGTTTTGCAAGTTCAGGGGGGTCGGAATATGCAGCAAAAATCTCCGCAGTTTTGGGACAGTTGGAACACCAGAAAATATGGATTCACAGCAACTTGCTTGACTCTAGCGAGTAGACACGAGGAGGAATTTTGCATGGCGCTTCTCTCTGTGTTAAGCATGTTAAGCGAGCTCCCAAATCCAGCAAAGTCCAGGACGTGGGGATTTCTCCTACCAGCTGAAGCCCAGCCCAGGGCACCTGGAGATCCAGATGTCTCTGTCCCAGGCTGATGGATGTGGCTGCTGCTGTCTCATTTCCCGGTCCAACCAGTTGCAAGGCAGCCTGTAGCCCACCGAGCTACACACGCAGACACACAAGCGTGCCTGGCTGCATAAACTGCCATGGCCACTGCTCTGCCTTTAGCAGCACCCACAGGTAACACCACCAGAACTCACATGAGACATAAGCTGCAGATAGCTCAGACCTCTTCTTCCCCTCCAGCTGCTTGGAAGTGAAGCAAAAGGGAGGGATCAGTCTTTTTTACTGTATTTTTTGTTGTTGCGGATTTTTTTCCTGTACAAGTTTTTAGTTGTCTCCATCTGCCTCCCCTCTCCCTGTGTGACAGCACTGTTCAGTCTGGGCGTGGGAGGGAACCACAAATTCAGCTCATCACCTCCTCCACCTCGCTTGACACGTGTAAATTTTTGTTCACTTTTGTTTGCTACCTAGGTCTGGAGCCAAGCCTTGCAGAAAGTCGGTGACAGGGCTTTAGCTAGACCTTCTCCTTCTCTGCCTTCCCTCGGATACAGAGGTCCTTGAGTTGCAAACCTGAACGGGACAGCATCCATCCCAACCAGGTGTGAAGTTCCTGCCTCTTTGTGTTAGTGGTTCTGGTCCATTCATGCATTCAGAGACCCCAAGAAAGCAGGCGGGCTCCACCCTCAGGGCAGGGATTAATTTTCAGATACTTTTCAGATTAAACTTGTACATAAATTTAAAATTAAACAGGGTCTATGGAAATTAACTATTTAAAATGTTGTATTGTCCTGCAGCTCAGCTCGCTGATGGAGGCGTTCAGATCACAGAATCACAGAATCGTAGAACGGCCGGGGTTGGAAGGGCTCTCGGGAGCTCCCCCAGTGCCACCCCCCTGCTCAAGCAGGCTCACCCAGAGCAGGGGGCACAGGACAGTGTCCAGGCGGGGGTTGAAGATCTGTGGAAAAGGAGACTCCACAGCCCCCCTGGGCAGCCTGGGCCAGGGCTCGGCCACCCTCACAGTCAACAAGTTCTTCCTCACGTTCAACTGAAACCTCTTCTGCTTCTGTTTGTGCTCATTGCCCCTTGTCCTGGCTGGGCACCACTGAGAAGAGTCTGGCTCCGTCCTCGTGGCATCCACCCTTAAGATATTTGTATATGTTGATAAGATCCCCTCTCACTCTTCTCTTCTTCAGGCTGAACAAGCCCAACTCTCTCAGCCTTTCCTCGTAGGGGAGGTGCTCCAGTCCCCTCATCATCCTTGTTGCCCTCCTCTGGACTCTCTCTAGGAGTTCCTCATCTTTCTTGAACTGGGGAGCCCAGAACTGGACCCAGTGCTCCAGGTGGGGTCTCCCCAGGGCAGAGTAGAGGGGGAAGAGAACCTCCCTCGCCCTGCTGGCCATGCCTCTCTTCATGCACCCCAGGGTGCCATTGGCCTTCTTGGCACCAAGGGCACCCTGCTGGCTCATGGTCAGCTTGTCGTACCCCAGGACTCCCAGGTCCCTCTTGGCAGAGCTGCTTCCCAGCAGGTCAGCCCCCATCCAGTACTAGTGCACGGGGTTAAAGCTCCCCAGGGGCAGCACCTGACACTTGCTCTTGAATGGTCACTAGCAAACAGCAAAACATTGTGCCAGAGGAGAAGGGGGTGCCCAGAGTTGGACTGGAGACACCGTAAAGGCAGCTCTGCCTGTGCACCTCCATAAGGTGGCAAGAAACTGTGAGCTCCTTGCTCCTTACCCGGAAAATGAGTGTGCGACTGTCCCAAGGCCAGAACGGAGATTGTTCAAAACAGGAAAACAAACTAAAGCTGGGGTGCTGTCACCGCTGGGCAACATTTTTTCCACCTCAACTCTTTCTACTATCATCACATTGCGATCTTACAGGTACATTTTCCCCATGTGCATTTTTGGGGAGGATTAACGAGAACCGATTCTTTAAACACGGCAAAGCTGTAGAAGCAACTCACTGGGTTTTGCTTTGCTCTTTCTCTCTTTTAGCTGTCAAGTCATGTTAAGAAGCCCTGAAAAATTTGCTTTTATTTCTGCAAAGCCGGTTTATTTTCTTGATGCATTTTATTTTCAAAGTTGCAAACTATCTTCACCGCACTGCCTTTCTCTCATGTGTTGCACCAAAGCATTGGCATTACCATTCCCACACTAGGGACGATGCTTCAGCTCAAAGGTTGACTTGTTGAAGGTCTATTTTCTTTCAAAGTGCTTTTGATATGAGTGCAGCAACAATACGGTATATTTTAAAGCCATTTGGTCTTCCCGGATGCTCAAGCCTGTTAATTGTGTATTTTTTAGATATAGTCTGCTAACACCTAAATGGAATTTGGGCATTGCACAATTTCTCTGAATCATATTTTCCTGGCAGCCAGCAAGAGTACGTGTATTTTTCGGCTTTTGCTTTTTAAACTGAAAGCTCTTCTAGAATTGGACTTTGACTTTTACAGAAATGGCTGTTCACATTTTTGAAGCCAGGGGTCACTTACAAAAACCAGCAAAGCCTCAAATGTCACTAGGCAGAGTGGTCCTGCTCCTTTTCCATCCTCCTCCTTCACCATAGCCAGCTTTGGATTGACGCGATTTCCCTCCAACCTTCAAGCTGCTGACACCATCTCCTCTTGCTTTTGACATATTTCTTTCTGGCTTTAGCAGTACCAATAAATCTGTCTGACTACTGCAGACTGCTGGGAACCCCTGTAGCTCAGGAAATGCCATGTGGAAGCCAAGTCCTGGTCTGTGCAGCACGGTGGTATGGCACCCATGATGCCACCTGGGTGAAGGAGGGGATTTCACTCTCAGTTTGCTGCTAGAACCAGTACTAATGCTGCTTTTTAGGTATGAATGTTTCTGATGTGCTGGTGAATTAGACCAGCTCCTGCTGGGCTTGGTTTCCTCAAAGGCCAAATTAGCCCCAAAGGGTTGAGGTGGAGGAAGAGGCACAAAGAAGCAGCCAAAAGATGCTGCAGGATGCCCCGCTGAGAGGTCATTCAGCTTCTGAAAGGGGAAAGCTCACACACTCCTGGGCCAATCAGATAAGAAGGAAATCAAATTAAGTGTTCTAAGGATGTTTTATCAAGTTTGGTGAAAGCAGATAAAAACCCTCATCTAATTCTGAAGATAAGTGCCAAGAGCTGCCTGTGATTCACCGCCCCAGCACTGGAGTAACGGAAATGAGTAACAGTCCTGCGGCTCTGGATTGCAGCTGATTTCAGGTGTTTTCTATAACTCTGCTTTTCAACAAATTGTGTTTGGAACCTATTTTTTTCAAATATTGATGGTTGTGCGTCTTGCAGTGGAAGAGAAGATAATCCGCTTTTAACCCCCTATTTAAGCTGGCCGGTTCACAGTTTTGCTCCCCATTGAGCAGATCTAGAGCCGCTTAGCTGCGTATCCTAGATGTTGAATTGCTAAAAGTCGACAAAGAGTTGCTTTCAGCTCTTCACAAATATGATTCCTTTGGACATTATGGGATATGGGCTGGCCTAAGAGTAACCTGAAGGGAGTGGGGCCAGACCGCAACTGCAAAGTGGGAAAATACCTGATCTGGCTGAGCCAAGTGAGGAGGAGGAAGGTCAGGATCCTTAGGACACCAGGTTCAGGAGATGCTGCAGTGGTGTCATTCCAAAATATGACTTACACCAACATATTTCAGCTCACCTAAGGTCATCTTGGTTGCCTGGCTGCCCTGGGGGAAGCTCTCCGGGGGGATCCTCCCCTGTGCTGGCACAAGGACAGCTTTGCAAAAAGAGCTGCTTCTTCCTGAGGTGAGACGTGTCCGAGGGGATGGAAAGAGATTCCTAAATTTGATAAAACCTTTGACTGAAAATAGTTTTTGCCGGTCACAATAACGATGTTTACAAAGAAAGGTAAGAAACAAGAAGCTCTGTTGTCAGATGTTTGCCTATTCCCCTGGAATACACTACAGGAGTTACACAAGGACATTTCATCCTGAGAAAACATTACCCTTGTAGTGCAGGCAAGGTCACCGCCTTGCATGAATTAACCATCATGTCAGCTCTGGTCAGGGAGGTGATGTGAACTTAAGCACCTGACTTCTCTGATGATCTCTACATTTTGCCTTCATGCCTGAATGTATCTTACCCTTTTGCGCTGCCTCCTCTCCACCTCCCTGTTGCGGTCAGAACTGCACGTTGTCCTCGCTCGTATGCAGATGGTATGGACCGTATGGGCCAAACCCAGGGGCAGATGCCATGGAACACAGGAAGGAGCTCTGGGACTCTTTAAGAATAAAAATAAATGATCTGTCTATGAAGGCAGGCAGGGATTTAGAAAAGCTGGGCTCCAATTTTGCTTTGGAGGAGCTGTCTCTGATGCTTCAGCTCTCGCTGCGCCTTTGCTGTCATTTTGCATGGATGTGACAGTAACACTCCTGTGCGTGCCTGGCTTGCTTGTGCCTGGTCTCAGTGATGCTCACAGCCTGCAAGGGTGAGGCTTCACACTGTAGCTGGACCACTCCAACACCTTCCCCGGCGTTTTGAGTCTTGCCTTCTGCCAGCCTGAATGCTCCTTCGCTGTCCTCAGTGAGCCAGCGCAGCTCACTAACCCAGCAGTAAGGGAGAGTCTGAGAGAGGAAAAAAAAGATGTTTTCTGCTGATTTAGTGGCCCTCCTGCCACCATCACCTCTCTCTGCCCTGCCATTTGCCTGTCCTGGGCATCATCCTTCTAAGAGCAGCATCTGACCAAGGGATTTGTTTGGGTCCTTCATCTCTGCGTGCCCCTTGCCCTTCCTCCCCTGCAACCCCAAGTCTTTTTGCACTTATTAATAAAAGCATGGTGTGTGCTTTGAAGGGGTTCTTGCTGTGTTAGCAAACCAGGCTCTTGAACAAGAAGCCACAGGGCAGGCACCTGTCTGAAAATGGTGGCTATTCCAACGCATAGAAGGCTCTGAGCACCCTTCATTTCCTAAATTGCATGAACCTGATGTAATTCAGAGAAATCTCAGATTGCATTAGTCTTGCCTCAGCGTCCTGCCCAGTTTATTAGCTCAAAGGAAGGTAAAATACTTCTATCCCCCCTATTTTCTTGGCTTTATCAACACACTTCAAGTGCAGATGAAATTCTGCTCAGGAAATATTTTAATATAACACTATATATGTGTGTCTGTGTGTTTATTTCCTAGGTTTTTATTACTACTCTGTGCCTTTTCACAAATAAGGAAGGAGTACGCTGTCAAGTGCTTCCAATTGCACTAATGGAGGAAGCAAAGAGCGTTGAATTTTCCCCAGGCTGATACTTGGGAACAAATTCAGCTGGAAGAGGCAGCCCACAGCAGGTCAGTGGCCAGGCATATAATTGATGTTTAGGGGACATGAAGCCTCCTCTGAAAAGAGAAGGTGAAAAAGTTAGGGTTCCTCTCCTCTGTAGATGTCTTGTTTCAAGTGTGGCCATGAAGTCAATGTTCATGTCAACATTTGTGACTAACCAGAGTCCATTAAAAACCCTAAATGTTTAAAAGAAGAGGGGTGTGAGTGCCAGCAGGTGATGGTGTGGTCAGAGAGCTGCTGGGGCAGCAGGGAAGAGGGGGACCCTTTGCTGGGGTGGCCTTGGCATGGGTCCTCCCCATCTTCTTGCCTGCAGCATCGTGCCAAGGGATGAAAGATGGTATTTTTCAGGCAAAACTTAACCTTCCCTCACACCACTGTGGACTTGGGCCACCTCCATTTTCTTCGTTCCTGGTGAGAAGGAGGGATTTGGGGAGAGGAGCCTCTCACTCCTTTGGGGAGGACATTCCCCATGTGTTATAGCTGAGGCCTTATCACCCAGTGCCCTCCATCAGCGTGGCCCTAGGCACCTGGCAATGTGCTGGGGAGCACTGGGGGCCATGTTCCAGGGTTTTGCAGGGGGAGCACGCCTGCACAGCTCTCCATGGCAGAGGCCCCCATGATTGCCCCCATGTCACAGCACCGCTGGGGGT